AATATACATCTTCCCGAAAATTCTTTTAATTATGTATTTCTTTAATAGGATGTTGCTTAGTAGTCGTAGAAAAAACGTAGAAAGCAGCGTAAATGTGTCTCTTCTTCACCGGCGAGAGCCTGCCGGCGAAGAAAAATCTTCCCGCGCTGCCGGCTGCTGGCCACATCGCTTATCCAATCAGAACGCAGGTCATGTGAGGTGAACCAATCAGAGCGTCGATCGCACGCTGCTACTTAATATTCATGACAAGATGGCGCCTGAAAGCTCCTGTTTTTGTACAGCGATGCGGAGTGTGCGTGTTTTTATTCCGGGGTTTTGACGCTGATTTTTGGCTAGCCGTGATTAAGCTACAAATGACACACTAGTGGAGACAACAGATGAGTGATCATTTTACGATCGACAAGAACTTTTGATGAATGAAACAGCTGTGAAATCTCGCTGATGGCGATTTGTTTTTGAAAATTTGTCTCTGTGTATGAAAGATATGAACACGCTTCTATACATGTCTTGATATTTTTTGACGTGATTTGTACTAGTTATTTGTAGCAGGAATGTTACTAGTGCCGGGAGAAGTTGGGAAGGTAGCGGCTTGATAAATTTTCGTGAGCAACGAGTTTACGAAGCAAGTTCCGCCTAGCTCGAGCGATACAGCTCCGCGGATACAACTCGAGCCCCGAACAAGACCCTCCCCCCGTAAAGTTTCGGCCGCTCTGGCCGGCCGCGGGCCGCTCGTAGAAGCAAACGCTGACTCGTGCACTAGAAATCTGCACAGGAGGCTAAGAAAGAAGCAGTTTTCAGATCCAGAAAGCTAGCAGAAATTTGTCTGAAGTTCGTCAGAAGAAATGAGCCGGTGAAGTTTGTGAGAAAATGTAACGGAGCTTACTTGTTTTTCTGAAAATTTAGACGAAAGTAGCCGGCGCAAAAATTTGAAAATTTTGACGAAAGTAGCCGGCGCAAAAATTTGAGTAGGCGGCGATTTTCGCCGGTAGCTGGCTTGTTTTGAGAAGGCTGCCTATGATTGATCAGAATGTCCAGAATCTATTCTAAACACCTGGTAAATATGTTGTAAAGAAACAAGAAGCTTCCATCACCTGTCCTTGAAAGAAAAGATGCCAAAGAACTTATTGAAAAGAGTAGCGGTCCTTGCTTCTGCTCAGTGTGAACTTTACAGTCTGGTCTCTCAGTTGACATCTGGAAAAGGTGATCCCTCAATCCTCTCACAAATGTGGTAAATCTCAATAAATAAATAAATGAATAAAGCAAGAGAGAAGGCACAAGATTGATCTGTGAATGTCCAGAATCTATTCTAATCGTCTAGTTAATGTGTTGCCTGGACACTTGCGTGTGTTCATATAATCAAATTTACACATTGCTACACAATAATCAATGCCCACGCAGTCATAATAGATTGTCTTGTAGGTTATAACAAAATGTCACGTTAGATTGTTAAAAAGATCCCCTTTATTGAAAGTTTCGGCTCCTATTGTAGGCGCGATGGCATCTGGTGAATGGGGCTCTATGATAAGTGGTGGGGACCACCAGTCATCTGTATTGTTATAACGAGTTGACAGATTGTTGTTAACGAGATGAGTGATCGTTAGTTGGCCACTTCCTATATGTCGTGAAGAGGCACAATGGGTTCTGGGTGCGTGAGGTAGCACATTGTGAGCGACACGTTTGGAGGGAAAATGTCAGAGCTTTGTTCCCTGCATGCGTGATGGATGTTTTAAATAATGTCAGGAAGATTAGGAAATAAAAGAGAAAATGCTGTGATACAATTATTATAACATTAGCAACTCCACTTCTGGATTGTGAAGTTTGGTACCCAAATGTGGCTTAGCAAATCATTATACATACATCACAACCCAAGCTTTTTGTCTTATGTTTTTATCATTTTTAGCATGTTAAAAGGCAATGAATGGTACATGGAGAAAGAAGTGGTGGAGGTAGTTAAACTTACATTGTCATATCCCAAGCACAGTACTCCAAGTTACCAAGTTGAAGTACTGTACAAATTTATTGCTTTATTTCATATGAAAGTGTGCTAATGTATACATGTATCAGATACAAGTTTTATCCAATCTCTTTTCTTGTGCATCATGAAAGAATGGACTTCGTTTATGTTCCTGTCTGTTTATTGTTTATATTTTTTTATTATTTGCACAAATATCATATTATTTTTATTTATTTTTCGAGGATTGGGCAAAAAGTTATAAAACTGATCTCAGCCCTTTCCTCACACATAAAAGGAAACAATAAAACAAAGTAATAATAATAATAATAATAAGAAATGACAAAGGTACATAAATGAGCTGGTTTATTCTCCACCCATGATCATGACATACTTGTTATCATAGTTTGTTACCGGGATATGTGGTAACGTTTCATGTCAGTATGAGTTATAAAAGGCGGGAGGGTCTGTAATCCATTGGCAGTAATTAATGTTCATGCGTGGGGTGTGTGCTTTGTGCAGGAATATGATTGATGTGAGTGCCATTTTCTGTTTGGGCAGACAGGTTTGATAAACGACTCTCGCCGCCAGCCGCCGCTGCAGGCAGCTTGCTAATAGGAATGTCATTACCAATTTATGACGGGTGTGAAGGTATAAAAGTGCCCGTCTGTGTGCTCTAGTGCGGAGTTAGGGAAACCTGTGTGGGACAGAAAGCAAGGTCTAGTGCATATTATGCAGTTCGTGCCTCACCAAAGGTATGTAATTGTAATGTTGGATGTGTAGACATGGACTACAGTGCTAGGTAGATGGATTTGGTATATACTGCATCTTAACCACTACTTAATTTCAGTAACACTGACTTTTGAGTCAGGGGAAGACAAAATTCCCACTTTTTCTGCAATGTGTGGGTTTTAGATTTTTGGAGAAAGGTAGTTTTCATCTGTGAATGTTTGAAAGTTCACTTCTTGAGTGGGTATAGATAGTACAGTTTGAAATACAATTATTTTATCTTCCACGGTGTTTGATGTACAGAATATATTGTTTATATGTTTACCTGTGAGTCTTGAGTATACTGTCTACACCACAATCACTGGTTACACTTGATACAGCCCAGAGCTGGTGCTGCTATCGGTGTTGCAATCGTTCAGAACCAATTCTGCCTGATTACGCCCCTGATTTCATTGCCTCTGTAGAACGCTGATGGCTTTTCAAGAGCCGGTGCTCTCCTAACGGAATTATGTGCCGAAAATTATCCACATTTGCCATGGTAATTGTGGAGGCTGGTATCGGTGAATGGGCTTTGGCCTTGGAAAGACCTAGCTGGTTAAGTCACGACCCCAGGGCTCGAAACTCATATTTGGGAATAGCTGCACGGGTGCACAGGAAAAACATTTGGATGTACACAAAATAAATAAAGTAGAAAAGAATGTCAACAAAACTCTGCTTGAGTCTAACTTCAAAATTGAGTCTTCTAAACCTGAAGGATAAGACTTTTGTTGATTGCATATTAGATCATCAAGTTTGAAATCAGCCATGTGTCTTGTTGACTGTTTCTGTAAGTAGAAGTGCAGCACCAAAGTCAGAGTTGTTTGCTCATCCGCCAGTCTCCATAGTAAGGCTCTTTATTGCAGTGACCTGATTTGGCCTTAGGACTTGTATTTCTCCGGCATTAGGAAGCCTAAGGAAGGCCTGATATAGCAGTGTCCTGGTGTTGTATTGTCATGGCTGTATGTTGTGATGTTGTATTGGGCCTTCCTTGGGTTGTTTCTGTGCACTGTAGTGAGGCCCTTATAATAGTTAATTGCAGTGCCCTGATGTTGTATTGTCCTGGCTGTGTGGTAAAAAAGGCTTGATGTTGTATTGCCCTGGCTATGGTTTATCATAGCTGATGTTATATTGTCCTGGCCATAGAAAGATCCTCTATTGCTGTGTCCTGATATTGTATTGCTCTGACCCTGCTTTATTTCTGTGCCCAAATATTGTATTGTGCTGGCCATAGTAAGGCCCTTCATGACTGTGTCCCAATGTTGTGTTGCTCTGGCCTTGGTGCTGAACCAGCCAGCTGGCCAGGTCAAGGAGACAGAATCCACAAGGGGACACCTGGCTGCTGATTAAAGCTGACAGGCCAGAGGATTGGGTTTAAGGGTCCTGAACACGTCTTGGGAAATGCAAGGGTTTTGGATGAACCTTGCCCTGGGTTTGAACACCTTTCGGAGGAAAATCCATATTTGTTAATAATATTTTTCTTGAGTATAACTTTTTCCTTGCAAATATGATGACCCTTACTGATGCATGCACCTTTGTGTATGTTTGTTTGTGTGTATGAGTATGTGTGTATGTCTGTGTGTATGTGTGTGTGTGTGTGTGTGTGTGTGTCTGTCTGTCTGTCTGTGTATGTGTGCTTGCCTCTCCATGTCTGTCCGTGTCTATGGATTAAGTGTGCATTTCTGCAATATCATTGGAGTAAAGGGTAACGTGATGTTTGTGTGCCTTTGTATTTACAGTGCTTTTTTTTCCCTTGCAGGTGTGCTAGTGCAGTGTATCCAGTAGTGTTGTACTTGTGATCCTTACAGCTGGGCAGACCCAAACCTGTTCATCCAGGTGCATCCAACCGACATCTTCAGACAAAAGAATCTCTCCTCTAACTCAACTCACCAGGTAAGGGATCGTCCAGTAATGGTTAGGGAGGTGGAGGGGGGGATGAGGGTTTGTCCAGAAATGGTCTGGGGGGAAGGAGGGTTGCCAAGGGCTGATCCAGTAATGGATCTTAGAAATGGAGGGTTGGGGATGGAGGGGGAAAGGGCTTGTCCAGTAATGGTCTGGGGGATGAAGAGCTGATCCAGTAGTGAAGGTCTTATGGAATGGAAGGTTGAGAACGGCTGATCCAGAAATGGTCCCATGGAAGGTTACGCATTACAAATAGCTGTCAGTGAACTTGCAAACTGAAGGCGATACCAATTTAATTTCTTGGTTCTGAGAGTTTTCTGATCTGGAAAAAAAAATCTTGTACCATTATTGTTCAAAATCAAACCAAAAATGCTCATATTTTGGTACCAACAGTTTGGAGAAAATCCATGTCTTCCTAGTTAAAACAGTTTTTCCATTTACCAATGATTAAAAGTTTTAAATTCATTGTTGGAATTCCACTTTCACATAACCCTTGTCCTGCTGGCATTCCTGGCACAATATTTTTCAATAATTTCATGTCTTACTTAGATCATAGAGCCCCACATTTTTTTGCCCTGCGGTGTCATAGTTACTTCCGCATTTGTTGCGTTTTTCTGCGGTGTGATGCGTTGAGCGTTGTGATACAGGATGCTATATAGATATGTGCAGAACAACAATTTTTGTGTTCCGCAGGACAAGGGTTTAATGTGTGTTCAGGTATGATAAGCCAGGCACATTATGCGCACCACTTAAACGTGCAATTGTTACAACAGGATAGCCTTGCTCCTGTGCTGACCCCTGTCACCTGTAGCCGGTATAATAGACTCCCAGTGTGTTAGTCAGACAGGTAAGTTTAGGGAGGGGAGGCAGATATATGTGTGATAAGAATGGGCTCCATATATTACAATTTCACACATGGGTGGAGTTAAATAGCTGGGTAGGGGGACGGGTGGGTGGTTACTCGATTGGTTTAGTTGTTCGTGTCTCATTCAGGTGTTTCTGGGACTTTTCTTGGCAAACAAAATGAAGTGTAGGCAACAAAGACGTAGGCGTTCAAACAAATTGACACATTTTCATAATGTATTGGTGGTTTTTTACATATATTCAGGGTGGTTTTAGCTGAACAAAACTTGCAAAATGTCATATCCAAGAGGACCCTTACCAAAGCTACATACTCATTTTCACCTGAGTCATTTTTATTTTTTAAGTCAATTAAATCACAGCATAGGTGGTTCAACTGACAGTGTAGGGAGCCCCACACTCAAAGTATGCTAGATCTAGCAAGATAACTGACTTTGAATTTTTTTCTATACTTTTCGTTATGATCTATGGCCTCTTCTTGCCGTTTTGACATTGACCTTCGTAGTGGAGGTTTCCAAAAATGTGGTAAAAGCTGGAATCTCCCCCCCCCCCCAGCAGGTGCAAAAAAGGATAAATTATTTATGGCAGGTATTAGAGGTACTGGTGAGAGCAGAGTGCACTTAATCCCCCAAATGTATCCATGGCACGAAATAAAAGTGACAAAACGTCAAAATGGATGGAAATGTTGTGGGACAGTGGAAAAGGGAAAATGACAGTGTGGGAGGATGATGACAACCTTGCTTCACTGAGTCACTTCACTGTGAGTCAGAACAAAAAACAATTTGCAATGTCTTTATTTGCTTAACGCCACTGAAAGTACCAATGTTTCTAAATATATGAATATTTGTTCTAACTTGTTCTAACCCTATTTTTTTCAATTTTTTTTTGTTTCTACCGTAACTGGTATTATACAGTAGATTTTTTTTAGTTTGCGTATGTCTTTGCTTTGTATGCTTTTGAGTATGAGCAACTTTTTTAATTGATTATCGAGAGAGATATCAGAAAAGGAAGCAGTTTTATGCGACTCAAAACTGGTGGATACACCCTGTGTAACATTGAGTATGAACTAAACGTTTGCATGTTTGAAAACGTTTAAGTTTTGACTGAACTTCCGAGTGTCGGGTGGGTGATGAGAACAAAAGTGGCTGCCAGAGGAAGGCAGGTTGTGTTTGCTTCCCTCTCGACTGCATCGGTCGTACTTTCAAGGTCTTTAAGGTGTGTCAGGCACTGACAGGAGCAAACTTTACGGCTGACAAAACTCAAAATGAGAACTGTTTTTCTAAAGTTCGCGGCAGGGTTAGTCAAACAGAGAAAGCAATCATTCTGGATCAGGCAATCTGGTGTAGAACACAAGTGTTCGTTAATTACCTTCGCAGAAGAGGTAAGGTTGCCCCAACTTACTGTGATCAGATGGTTAAAACCTAGCCTCTACCAGGCTTTGGAAAGTGGCTTTTAAAGAGTAGAAACTGGCCAAACAGACAGATAACATACCAGGGGAGTTGGTCCGCTGAAGAGTACAGTTTGCCACTCCGAAGCCTGGTAGGGAAAGCTTTGGTGGATTTTTATGATGTTTTGTGGATAGACCTTGGGGTAAGTACTGTTTGAAAATAGAACCATGCCCCAAGGCAGCTTCCTTTCAAATTGCAGATTATATCCATTTAACACTGTGTCCAGATGTATTGTGCAAGCACGTCTAACCCTCGGAAGACGGGGAACAACAGACGATAAACCGGACAGTGAGTGAGTGAGTGAGTGAGTGTCATTGAGAGGCCTGTATTTCAAACTGGCCAAAATGTAGCCACGTGATATAATGTGTTTTACAGTATATATTACTATAGTACTGTATGATACATAAGTGCGGGCATTTAATTTTTCAGTCAGTATAACACTGCGTTGCTAATGTGGTACAATGTACAAGTCAAGTTTATTTCATGTACATGTTCAATGTATATTGTAAGGTCAAGTATTCTCAAAGTATAAAACTACTGTTAGTACATTAACCAAGTGCAGTCTACACAGACTCAAAGCTATATGTCTTGAAAGTTCATCTGTGTTGGTAGTAATCATAGTAAAATGGTGAACTGACACACAGACTAAACAAAGATCAAATTTTCACTGACCACTGTTGTCTTTATCAAGATAATTAATGACCAATCACATCAATCGCTTGTCTTACTCAAAGCTATATATAAATGTATATTTATACATTAAATGGTAGAAGACACAATTGTGCATACTACTGGAAATCCCTACTATCTCAGTGCAAATCCCAGCTGTAGAGAATACCCAATGTTCACTCAACCCAGTGTCTCGTAGTAATCGTACAAGCCTGGGGGATAAGACCAGGGAAGCTTCAGTACCTTGAACCTGAGAAAAGCACAACAATTGTAACAGGTACAATGTAAGACAAAGTGCTTTATATGACTACAGGCTATTTATGTCAAAGTAATCTACACCTAGATCCTAAGCTATACAATATTGATAGAAGACAATGTAAAGTGTAAGGCAAAGTGTTGTGTAAGACAACTGACTAGGTGCATCAATCTAGTACAATCTACGCGTAGATTCTTAGCTAATACTGGTAGAAGACACAATTGTGCACGCTACCGGAAATCCGTGCTATCACTCAATGTAAATCCCAGCTGTAGTAAATACCCAGTGTTCACTCAACCTATTGCCAAGCCTGGGGGATAAAACCAAGGGAAGCTCCTCCACCTTGAACCTGACAAAAGCGGTGAGGCCAGTTCACTTCAGGCCTGTTGTTAAACGTTGTTGAAAGAGAAGCCCACTGACAGAGGGGAATCGGTCCACAGGTTTTCAGCGGGCCTGTCCTGGACTTGCTCACCGTGATGGTTCCTACTGTTGTTCTGTCCTGGGTTAGGCCGTTACAAGTTGGGGGCGATTAGCGGTATCCTGGCCAGGCCTGCTGTCATCGCCCGCCCTGTCCTTACCTGTCAGGCCCGGTGGTAGCACCCATTCAGAAACATGCGATAATTAACCTTGTCTTACCCCAGGACGAACCATTAGGATGATTAGGGGGAAAGTGGACCCCGTGGGACGTCTCACCAACACTTCCATGTGCGCTGGTAAAGCACAGCCAGTGGGCGTAAATCAGAACTAGCTCTGGAGCTGTGTAGCCTGGATGCCAGACCTGTACATACATGTATGTACTGTATGTAGCACACTAGGCCGAGAGTTACCCAGTATGCGAAGGCCTAACTGAGGGGGGCTGTGGCAGCCTGTGCTAACATTTACCGGGACTAGGAGCATGTTGGCCACAAACAAAAAGAAGCAGACCCAAAATTGTTTCTGTTCACCTGAATCTTTAGGTCGTGTGCACCTGCTCCCCCAAATAAAATTTTCAAGCCCTGTTGGTAGCCTCTACCAGGCTTCAGAAGTGGCTAGAAAGTGTAGAAATTGGCTATTATAAAATGGAAGACTGATATAACATGCCAAGGGAGATAGTCCTCTAAAAGAGCACAGTTTGCCGCTCCATTAGCGGACTAACTCCCCTGGCATGTTATCTGTCTATTTCTCAAATTCTGCTCTTTTCAGCTGCTTCTGAAGCCTGTTAGAGGCTACCCAGTTGGTGCTTAGAACGTCTGGTTTTGCGATATGAATGCGGACAGATTTGGAGAGACCACCCCGCGGCGTGTGTAGCTCGGTTTCCATACCCCGACACTAAGCCGGAAGGGAAGCACTGTCGGGATGGAACTCGACAATGTCAATGGCAGGACTTAATGTAAACATTTAAACTCCCCCATTTGTACCGGGGTAATCCAGACCCTCCAACAGGTCCTGTGTGTATGTTAGGGCTTACGCTGTTGCTATGCCACTGCTTACAGACTTTTCCACTCATGGGTAAGCAATGACTGACTAAACAGTTTTGTGTAAGACAACATCAACAGGCTTGGATGTTCAAGCACAGTCAAAACTGTCCAAGAAAACCACTGACTCATGGAACTGGTCTCTGTGGTCAGGGGGTCACTGTAGACAGAATTTTTTCATGCTTGTGTCAGTGGGAAAAATGTAGTAAGGGACCAACAGAAAGTTATCACATTGACCAGGTGGTCCTTATACAGAGGTGGTCACTAGTACAGGTTTGACTGAATATCAATGGCCAGGT